TCAAATTGATTCTTTTTGCTGAAAACTTTTGTATTACAATGCTGTTTCACATCCACACACTCCATTTGAAACATATCTTTTTCAGTTTTAAAGACTGATTGGCCTTACTATTAGGAATAAGAATGATAAGATAGCACATACAAGTTCTCTGCTACTAAATGATAAAGGTTGCCAGCTGACATGATGCACGTTCAAGTATGAACCACAGAAAAATCTGAAGTCAGTTACTGAAACCAACACAAATACTGTTTATTTGTGGGATGCCATTTTACATCAACACCAGCAAAAGACCTAAAAATCAACCAGATGAACTCATGTTAGGTGGCATAACAGTATTTTTGTCAGGTCGTGAGTCACAGGAGTTTAGCACACCTTATTTATATAGTATCCAAATCAACTAAGACATAAAGCATTCACAGTTACAGGTTAACTGCTGTTCCTGCAACAGCAGTGTCAGTAGGTACTAGTTTGTGACAACACATGTACACATACACACACACACAGAGGGGGGGGAAAATTTAAAAAATAAAAACCAAACAAAAAAAAAAATCAAGCCAAGTTTTGGTCTCAACTACAGACAACAAACTATTTAGTTGGTGGATGGATTCTATACACTTTTACAGCAATATGAAAGGATAAAATATAAGGCCTAGAAAGAGGTATTTTAGCAGTTATAATTAAAACCAGGGCACAAGCTAACATTTAAAGCTGTCTATATGAATTTCAGGAGTATTAAACAATTTGTTAGGCTTGTGACCAAGGGTCAACAGAAATCTGGGAAAACCTTAACAAAACTGAAGTCCATTTCTTGCCCTCCAGAAAAGTAACCTGGGAACCTTAACCAAGTAGCAATAAGCTGTAACTAATTTTGATTGTGTGACCATATTTGTGTGGAAATAAAATGCATGTATTTGTGCTAAAATGGGAGAAGCCTCTAGTCCTCTACAGATGTTAGAAAAGGCTACACAAAGGTAACCCAAATATTTATTGTAGCTTAAAGACAACCTTAAACGGGTTTTAACTGAAAACTCAAGTACATAAAGGATTCCAATAAATTCCATCCTCTTCAGCTTGCTTTCCTTGAAAAAGATAAAAATTGAAAAAACAACAGTAACACAGAATTATATTTTAAATATTATTATTTTGCTGTAGAATGAAATTTAATTTGTGGATCAGTTACTAATATTCATAGAATCATTTAGGTTGGAAAAGACCTTTAAGACCATTGAGTGCAGAGAGCTCCAAATATTTGTCATCTATCAACTCAGAATGTCCACTCCTATAGTCTCCGGATGCCGTTTTCCTTTCGCTAACTGGCTTTCCACTTCACATCTCCCAAATACAAAGCATGAATTGCACATAGATCATCAAGTTTCTGCTATAAGGACAGTAATAGTACACCAGAAAGATCAGTATAAGACCCGTGACACTTCTGCCAGAATGACCTCTCAGTGTCTTGTCCAAGAAGTCAGCATATTCTGTATATTACTTTTCAAAAGGGAAAGAAAAAAACCCAACCCTACATCAACTATATGATGGCCTAACAAACAAAAAAAACAAACACCAAACTTGCACTAAATACAAGGTAAACTGAGCAGTTTAGTTAAGTTTCCACAATTATTTAAAAATCAGAGGGAATTTCTCCAAAATACAAAAGCTGGCAATGTTAGGATCCTCTACTTATCAGCATATATAGCAGAAACAGAAGGATGAATAGCACAGGGAAGCTTATCAAGCCATACAGGTCCATTTTAGTCCATTTGTTCTCTATAAATGTCAGTAAAGCTGTCTACTAGCTGTAATTGAATTTGTGGTTTATTTTATAAAGATGAATGTTTATAAACCAGCTGAAGACTACAGATTCATCCAGCTTGCAAGCAGAAGAAAAAAAAAATTTGAAGCATCTATCCAATTCATTTCCAAACACATTCTTCCTTTCCATCAATCCTGATTTCTTTTACCCAAAGAAAAAACAAAGAGTTTGTTTACTTACACAGTGTGAGTACTTTCTGAGGTTTCTTTTCCTCTGTGTTCTTTGCTTTTAATTAAATTTTGTATTCTGCTAAACGTTAGCAAAACTTGGAAAAAGAGCACCTGGTTGAGCTGAACAGATTTCTGTTGACCCTGTTATATGAAAGTTATATCTATAACAGTAATAGATTAAAAGTGTCTTTGGCTCTTGCTTCCATTAGCGGAAGCCAAATTATTTGTGACATACAAAACCTTTTATGCAAACCTTGTATTTGTTGCAGGATTCATGCCAATTTGTGCTGAACAGTTTTCTAGAGTCGTAACTAGCTCAACATTTAAGAACAATTACAGTATTTCACTTAAAATCTTAGCAACCACAATTTAGCCTAATGGTAAAAGTTATATTGCTTCTAAGTTCATTCTTTTAAGAACTAAACCAGCAGCTCCACTGATATTTCCTTACGGTTATACTATGGTAATATACACATTTACATCAGAAGTCTTAATAAAACGTGTGTGTTTTAGTAAGAGCCTTATTGTAAACATTAAATACCACACTCCACTGAATTAATTTCTTGTGCAAACTGGCATCAAACATGGAATTAAGGTTATGCGTATTAATACATGAGAAAGCAATGATTATGTATGTTTTACCACTACTAACTTTAAAGAGCGCTATTCAGTGTCATGGAAATTCAAACATGACTATTTCACAGGGAAAGGTAGTATTTTCTTCTTAGCATCATGAAATTCTAGGTTTTGTATATGCATTCATATTGTATATTTATGTATATACAAATATACACAAACACACACAAACAATTTTTGTCTTTGGCAGCTGAGTTTGACAAACAAAACCCAACAACAACAAACAGATTTGAACACAATTGACCACCTGTAGCACCACAATTACAACCTCCTGGTCCAGGGCAGCAAACTAATGTGCTTTTGCTAAACTAGGCTTAATCCTGAAAGTAGTCAACTTAATGACAGTTGCTCCTGACTTCAGTGATGGCAGAATAGGACCTTCAATACAGCTGAAAATTTCACATTCAACCTAAAATGCTTTCCCCCTCTTCCCCTGGATTGCATTCTAGAGAAGTATCAAAACTGCCAATGCCTTGTAAAAATATTTCTACAGAAAAGTAATGTTATTCTTCTTCCCAAAATGTCCGCTGGCCCTTTTTTGTTAAATGCTCCCTGAATCAATATGGAGCATTTTAATAAACTCTTAGGGATCAAAGTTTAATAGCACCGGATACTTCAAGGACCTATTTATAAAAATCAATGCTAAAATTACTTAATGAAGAAGGGTAAGGCAAAGACAACATGACAAAATTACAGAACTTAAACATCACTCCGTTTTCCCCAAAATAATCACTAGAACTGCCCTATACAGATAAAGAAATGAGTGAAACAGGCAGTGGTCCCTACTAAAAAGTACTGTCATTTAATGCTGGTGTTTAACATGTCCATTGCCTGCAATGGACATTCTGCTAGGAAATTCCAATTCCCAGCATGAAAGAAAAAGTAATGTTTTGGCTATTCGATATCATATTTTTAATTACGTAGAAACACAAAGTTAGAGACCCTGGGAAGGCCTAATGTTACAAACAAACAAACAAACACCACCCCACCCCCCCCCAAATCTGTATCATCTGTGTGCTAGGGGTGAGCAGACTTTATTCCCCAAACCACTAATTTTAGCTAGAACTTTCACTAGATTGCAACATAGACCAAACACTCTTGGTACACCAAAAATTAAAAGGAGTATGCCAAAGGCAATTTACGGAAGTCTAAAACCCATTTTTAAAAGGTACTTTAATTTGTTCATTTGTACCTGTAATGACTACTGCAGTTTTAACATTAAAAAGTCAGTACTTTTTTCTTCAAATGGAAATCATCTGTGGCATGTACAACTATTACAGTGTTTTAATATTTATATGTATATATATTTTTTTTTAAGACACCAAAGTTTCATTCCTATTAAGCAATAGGTCAGGTTTAGCGAATTCCGGTGAAGAAAGTCACAGCATGTCTTATCCCCTCAGAAATTGGCATCTCAAATTGTAACATTAAAATTGACAATAGTTCTTCACATAACTATGTCCAAGCAGTCTGTTAATTTCATTTTCTGAAATGCTACATTTGAGACCAGAAGAAAAACAAAGTAACTAAGGTTTCAAACAAACATGTAAGTGATGACTAGAAATATGCCACAAAATTATTTTTACAATACATTTCTGCAGAAATAATCCCTAGGTGAAGCTTTTTTTTTTTATACACATATACAAAATTTAGACAGCAATATACACATAATCACAGTGAAGACGCTGGCAAGTTCACCAATTTGTAGTGTAAATACAAAATGCAAAGCAGCCTTCAAAGAGAACAATGCTACACAGCAAGCATAGCTAGCTTGTTAAATAGCAAACATCGAAAGTTCCCTGTAAAAGGGATGCAGTGCAAGAAAAGCAGCATGCACTTTCATACAAATAGCAGTTTATGGCTAATGGTTGACGTAACTGTGGTAACAGTGACTCTTGAGTGGCTGTGCATAGTTAAACTCCTATGTCATCTGTTTTCCTTTATACCATTCCACAAACTCATCCAACAATACTGGCCCTGTAGAGAGATCAAATAACTGTATTTTACAAAACTTTGTAAAAGCACAGTGAAAGATTAAGCTCAGAGAAATAAATTATTTTAGAACACCGACATATGGTAGTACTTACAGGCTCCATCTTCATCATAGTTACTGAGGTCAAGGTTAATTGTTCTGCTGAATTCAAGAACATTACACCATTGGTCCTTATTGATAACTTTGTATTTTGATTGCTGCTTAAGGCAAGAAACAGAAGTTACTAAAAAACATTTTCCAACTCCCTCAAATTCAGATTTTCTTACAGAAAACTTAAACCTTGTGATGAATTATTATTTTAATCTTTATGCCATCTAAAACTAAACAGGATTAAAGAAATCACTAAGCAGTCAAACTAGTGTTGAATAATTCATGTTTCCGATTAAGACATCCTTTAGTGGGTAACCATACAGCAATAAAAGGAAAGTCCAAAAGCAAATCAAAGACATTCTACACTATAATATCCTGCATTAAATAAACTTAACAGCATAGGGATTTGGGGAAAAGGAAGAAAGGAAAGACAACCAGTTACAAGTGCTGCTTTGGGGGTTAGTATATTCTAAATCAGAACAATAAATTCTTAGCTGTTCATTCTACCTCTAGTTAAAGTATCAGAGAAGACAGATAAAAAAGTGTAGTTTAGTTTCAAACTTCATACCTCTAGAAACTGGTGAAATACTGGAAAAAGGGACCATGTTTTTCCTAAAAGAAGGCCCAACATACACTTGGCAGTATTGATATCTAGGCTGCGCTGGTCCTTTTCCTGCATAAAAAGGAAAAGGAAAAAAGAGCACGATTTCAGGATTTTTTACTTCCCCCACTGCTTGTACTACAGCTCACTTATACATAAAATAAATTAACAAATAAATAATAAATAACAGTACCTAACAGTAGTTTTTAATAAAACACAACTTCCTAGTAAAATTTCCTTCCTCATAGCTACTGGCTTGCTATACAGAGATGCTGCTCTCTATAGACTTTCACCGCTATCGCAGATGAGGCATACGCTCCTGTTTGTGACTTCAGACCTTTCTAGAAAGCAACAGCCATCAGACTCATACCCATGTTTGCACGTATGCTTCTGCATAGCCATACGTCTCAAAATAGTATCGCTGCACATATTTCCTCTGGTATTATTACAACTACATGAACTGTCAGTAGATAGTTAAGTAGCTATCAAGTAACACTGACTACGCAAGAGTGAGCCAAGGAGGTTCTTTGTTCTGCTATTCTACTGCTTACATGATTAAATTAATTATCAAATGAGCAGAGGGAACATAATACACTAGCACATGGAGACCCCACTCAGAACTGTCCCAGTTTTAGTTCAATGTAGCAGTAGTATATTAAGGCTTAGGGGGTGATTTTTTTGTTTCTGCTAATAAAAAGAAGCATCATCTGTACCTAGTAGATTCATTACATCTAATCAGCGGGGAAGTTAATATATTTGATAACACAACTTCTGCACATCTCAAAAGTAATGTGTGTACGTGTAAGATTCCATGTTGTTATTTTAAGTAGTTCATCCATCTACATTTGTTGTCTTGAAATTAAACAACTTTTGGTGAAAGATGGGAGGTAAAACCCCACCCTCCTTTTATGCCTTGGTTATAGCAATAAGCTACAAATTCAGAAATTAATGAAATCACAAAAAATAAAGTTCCATATTAGCTACTGTTAGAACTTGATCTCTCTATATGTACTCATGATTGCAGACTGCAAAGTCTAAATCAAGAAAAAAACAGGGATATAGGGATATCCAGGATACAGGGAGCGCCTAACAGAACAGTGCAAGACAACTACCCAAGACAAAGGGAATTGAGCCCTATGCCTCACCTGTACAAGTGCAGCTGCATGTATTACAGAATATACATCTTTATTAAAAAAACAAGCTCAAAACATAACTGAGCTGTCTTCTATCATGTAGGAAGCATGTGGGAGAGCGAGATCCCAGTTCTCAGACAACAACTGAATGCCTTAGCCACAAGGTTATCCTCTCTTCTCGAAACCCATTTCATACAAAATACATCTCAATTCTAAAATTATATAGACAGAATTTAATGCAGATTTGTTTTGATAAGCAAGTGGGGAGGCCAGCAACTCTGAAAACATCAGAAGCTGTTTTACATTCTGGTCACTAAATCCAAGAGGGACTTCACTCAATCTGATCTAGAGGAAAAAGGTAAATTCCGGGATGAACAAAGCTTTTAAATTAGTAATAAAGCTGAAAAACAAACCTGCAAAGGGATTTCTGTATTAATATGTTACAATTCTTTCACTTATTTCCAACATCAAATCGTTCTGAAAACTAATCCTCTTTCCAAAGCCCATTTACACCTCTGTCACAAACACCTTTAAGCTGAAATCATACTGCTGTGAGAATACATTTTGTTTTCCATACTGTTTATACTCTCAATTCTTCCCACACACTCAAGTGTTAATGAAATCAGCCTCTGTTGCTTTACTTTGTAGAAATTTAACAATGTAAGGCATGTAGAAACAGCACGACCATTCTCCCTCTCCAACTACTGTTCAGAACAAATTGTTCAGATAAGTCCTTTATACCCACCTCCAACTGCCTAATGGCACATCTGCCATGACAGATGCTCTGATTTCATTCTTAACATACATTCCAAATACTTACATTCTCTTTCTTGGATACAGTGGAAAGAATATATTGACAAACTCTGATGAATTTCAGCATTTGTTTTACATTGATGATAGACAGCCGGAGATATTTTTCCCCCCAACATCTCACATAAAAGACCTATTTAATACATGCATCTGTATGTTCTCCGACTTGGCAATGACAATGGCAAACAGGGAGCGAGGAATGTATTTGTGCTTAATACCAACATACGGCAATTTAAATTATTTCCTCAAAACCATGCTGACTTAAAACTGTGCATGCTGCATAAAACCTTGATGATACTTATTTTTTCTTGAAAAACTAACTCCAAATACCAAATCACAACAGACACTTTCAAAAATTCTCTCTTGAAACCTCAGAAGTTTAGACAAGTGCCATGGAGCACTTCCCTGAAATGATTACCCTTCGCATGGAAATTACACGATCTTCTGAATCAAAACCCAAAACTGCTCCCATCAGCTTTTTTCTATCAATCACTTCAATTATTATGATATTCCAATATCTTCTGATACAGATTCATCTGACACATCTAGATAAATGTATCAGCCTTTGTCAGCATTCATTTCTGTTCCTACTGTATGCCATTTTCCTATAGACTTCCTCTGGCTCCACAGTATTAAAAGTTCAATAAGACTATTCATCTAATATCGTTTTGACAATTCCCCTGCTGATATGCTTTTGACTTGTAGTTCTACAATCTGGGTTTTTTTTTTGTCACAAATCATGTAACAGCATCTGTCTCTCAATGTTTAAATTATTTTTCAAGACCACTGTTTGTTGCATCAATTTGGTACCTCTTGAAAAAAATCCACCCACTATCCTCTTTTTAAGTTTCTGCACTCACTTTTGACGGCTGGCAAATCGGCTGGCGCAGATCTGCTACTAGTAAAATGTTTGTTAACCTATTCCAAATATTTCATCAGTATCTTGAACTTCTTTGGCAATGTTAGTTATTTCTAGCCTTTGCATTTTATGTTGAGCAAAACTGGCAGAATAAATCTTCACACAGCAGAGAAGGAATTAAGATGTTGATACAGCTTTCTTTCCTCTCATACTAATACCATGCATTCTGTCATATTCAGCTGTAGGTTTCCTTGGTTAAAAGTGAACTACCATGAATCTCTGCATGCTGACATGCAGAAAGCACTGATGTACCACAAATCTGAGTTACTTTTGACAGACTTAACTATCAGAGTTGTTATTAATTAAATTTCTTCTTCTTGTATTTCCCATGTTAGTTTTTTTGCTGCAAATTTTCTTGGTGCTTTTGGTTCTCCTACACTGAAATCTGAGCTTCAGTTTTGCCTGTGGTAATTTTTATATTAAATCCTCTGTACATTCCATCATATTAGCAAGATGGATGTCCAAATTCCATGTCAAAATGTTAATTCGGAAAATTAAAGTTCTTTTATTGCTCCCTTTAAGTAGGAATTGTCTTATGCATATTATGGGTTCCAGTACCAGGTGTAATTTTATCAATATGTATTTTATAGTAGGAAGACTGATATCAGGATATTTTTTAATAAATACTGAGATCATCATCAATGACCTTTCAACAGTCTTCTGAACCAGTACTTATGTTGGATCATATCCAGCTTTTATCATATTAGTTATTTTTACCACCTGCAGAAATGCCTGAAGTGCCTTCCTGTTTTAAATATGTTTATGCTCACAAAATTCAAATAAGAAGAAAAAACAGGGTAATTCTAAAGCCAGTGGAACTAAGTGGCAAAGCTCCGATATGCAACTGAATAGGGCCTAAATTATTTCCTTGAAGTCACAAAATAGCTTGAAGCAGAGAGGTAACAAAACATGTCAAAACACCAAACCACTGAACATCAAGCATCCTATATACTTTTCTTCTCCAGTTCTGGCATTTTGCATCTATTTTTTTAGAACACAGTTCCATTTGTTAGAAGCAACCTTGAGTGGTATCTTAAGAGAAACATACTTAGAAGCGTACAGTCTTTCAATTATTACTTATGAAAGTAAAGTTTTAATTTCAGATGCTGGTCTTCCACAGTACTTACCCGTGCAAAGTCAAATGCGTATCTATAAATAAGTTTAAAATTGGTAGGCTCATTTAATAAAGATCTCAAGTAATCCAGAGAATTTCTCAATTTTTCTGTAGTATCACATCTAGAAGAAAAGCACAAAGAGAATTTAGAGTCTGCATTCTTACACAGATGCCTGATGTTTTAAAAAAGAATCTCTAACATGTATCCCCACCAATATGTTCAAAATACATCACTCTGTACAAAGGCACGTTTATGAGTTTGTCTGCATAAAATGCCTTGATTAAACCCACAGCATGAAATGGATTTAGATAAAATAGCAAAGTCTTACACTGGTACTCTGATAAAAATTTGTTTGGCTTTGTAGAAAATGCACACTCCAACAGATTAAACTAAGAGCTTGTCTACACATGGCAAACAACCAGCAAACCACAGTAGTGAAACAATACTTCCGTAATTTTGCTGAAACTATAGAACTTCCTACACAGTTTTATTGATTCTGTTGTGGAAGATAAGTCAAAACACAGTTCTTTCTACAACTCTCTATGAAACATGATTATGCAACTACATTTATGTTAATTATGCCATGAAGATAAGCTCTCAACTGGAGAAAGCATCTCTTAGAAAGAACATGACAATGCAGAGTCACAGAAAGGGTTTGTATTATTTAGCATTTTAAACTACACATGCTCTAACAACATACTAGCATCTAATAGATAGGTCCAATCCAGTGACAAACATAGATGTCTTTGGGGACAGCAACAGTGTTGAACCTCATGACATTTCTGCTTTCTTGAGACTGCAAACAGTTTAATCCAACTGTATTTAAACATGCAGCTGTCAGGTTTCAAGTTGTCTCTAAGTGGTCATATCACCATAAACAGGACCAAAAGTGTATGGCTTCTACTCCACAGTAGAGCTCTCTGTTTTAGGTGTTAAGAGTCAAAACAAAGTGTGTTTTTTCTATAAAACTGGGTTTACTCTAACAAACTCGAGAGGTTTTTCGAAGTACTTACTGTAGTGATGTCATTCCTTTTAACCATTCTTGTAATGTAAAGTAGCCCATGTTTTGTGCATCCAACTTCCATGCTAGTACAAGCATAACTACCTGTTTTAAAAAGAAAAAAGAAGACTGAAAAGAATTAACAAAAAGCTCCAACATTTTTCAAATAGCTATTGTTTCGTAGGCTACAAATGCTTTACTCATGTAAATGGGATGTTCAGATCTTTGCCACACTATTTTAAAAGTTAAAAAACTTGACAGTTTCAAACCTGTACATAATCCAAACAAAGAGAAGACAACAGTGCAAAGTTACAGAGTGAACACCCACCCAAGTTACCAGTAGTCACCTTACTTCTAAACAGTGTGCACGGTCATCTATTGAGCAGTACAATGAGGAAGATGAGATGATGCAAAAGCTACAGAAAAGGTTCCCCAAAACAACTACAAAATTTAAGTACCGATTTGATGACAAGTTACATTTGACATTTGTTAAACTCTCATCTAGATGAACATCAGTTGCAATCCATGAGCTCTGTGAAATCCAGTTATTCTAAAGCTAATAATGATCCCACCTGAATTCAGCCACCCCAGGGTACCCTCAGCCTACCTAATTTTGCAGGTCTGAACATGCAGTATAATTCAAGTAGATGTTGAGTAAAGCTGGGTGAACTAACATTAACACACACCAAAACACAGGCTGATACACAAATACTTCAGTTTTCCCCAAAATGAAACAAGTCCTTTTCACATCTCACACAGAAGACTGAAGCAATAAAGAATTTAGTTGAAGTGATACCATAAGATTACTATCTTATTCAGGAACTTAAGAAACCACTTCTGATATATACAGGGAAAACCTTGCAGGACAACTGACCCTGCAGACTAGAAGAAAAAAATAATCACGTCATTTAAATTTGCAACTCAGCCATTAATTAGCTAATGTTAGTGCAGCGCTATACGGTTTTTAATGCGAAATCAGAATACCTACTTATATACCCAAATGTCTGCATACATCTCAAGGGTTTATTATACTAATAAACTCCAAAAAAACCAAATTACATCTTATATTTTCAGTAAATCTTTCAAAACCACAGTTCTCATTTTACTTAGAGATGATGCTTTATGAATCCTGCAAAAGATGTGACTTGCATATAAACAGCAAAAATTAGGCACTAGGAAAAAGCCTCTAAAAGGCACAACTATTCCTTTTTAAATTTTACTTCTATATATACATACATATAAAAAATATATATGT